GGGCACACTATTAAGATTGATTTACATGTTAAACACTGGAACAGTTCAATGGTAACACTATGTGTTACGGAGGCTTCGATTCATCGACGAAACTTGCCAGGTCAGTCAACATTGTACACATGTAGTGACGTATTCTTACAAAGAGAAACAGGTAAATGACAAAGAAACAGGTAAATGACAAAGAAACAGGTAAATGATAAAGAAACAGGTCAATGACAAAGAAACAGGTAAATGACAAAGAAACTGGTAAATGCCAAAGAAACAGGAAAATAACAAAGAAACAGGAAAATGACAAAGAAACAGGTAAATGATAAAGAAACAGGTAAATGATAAAGAAACAGGTAAATGATAAAGAAACATGTAAATGATGAAGAAATATGTAAATGATAAAGAAACAGGTAAATGATAAAGAAACAGGTCAATGACAAAGAAACAGGTAAATGACAAAGAAACGGGTAAATGACAAAGAAACAGGTAAATGATAAATAAACAGGTAAATGACAAAGAAACAGGTAAATGAGAAAGAAACATGTAAATGATGAAGAAACATGTAAATGATAAAGAAACAGGTAAATTATAAAGAAACAGGTAAATGACAAAGAAACAGGGAAATGATAAAGAAACAGGAAAATGATAAAGAACCAGGTAAATCACAAAGAAACATGTAAATGACAAAGAAACAGGTAAATGACAAATAAACATGTAAATGACAAAGAAACAGGTAAATGATAAATAAACAGGTAAATGACAAAGAAACAGGTAAATGAGAAAGAAACATGTAAATGATGAAGAAACATGTAAATGATAAAGAAACAGGGAAATGATAAAGAAACAGGTAAATGACAAAGAAACAGGAAAATGACAAAGAAACAGGTAAATGATAAAGAAACATGTAAATGATGAAGAAACATGTAAATGATAAAGAAACAGGTAAATTATAAAGAAACAGGTAAATGACAAAGAAACAGGGAAATGATAAAGAAACATGTAAATGACAAAGATTTACATGTTAAACACTGGAACAGTTCAATGGTAACACTATGTGTTACGGAGGCTTCGATTCATCGACGAAACTTGCCAGGTCAGTCAACGTTGTACACATGTAGTGACGTATTCTTACAAAGAGAAACACGTAAATGACAAAGAAACAGGTAAATGACAAATAAACATGTAAATGACAAAGAAACAGGTAAATGATAAAGAAACGGGTAAATGATAAAGAAACATGTAAATGATAAAGAAACAGGTAAATGATAAAGAAACAGGTAAATCATAAAGAAACATGTAAATGACAAAGAAACAGGTAAATGATAAATAAACAGGTAAATGACAAAGAAACAGGTAAATCACAAAGAAACTGGTAAATGACAAAGAAACAGGTAAATGACAAAGAAACGGGTAAATGACAAAGAAACAGGTAAATGACAAAGAAACATGTAAATGATAAAGAAACAGGTAAATTATAAAGAAACAGGTAAATGACAAAGAAACAGGTAAATGAGAAAGAAACATGTAAATGATGAAGAAACATGTAAATGATAAAGAAACAGGTAAATGATAAAGAAACAGGTCAATGACAAAGAAACAGGTAAATGACAAAGAAACGGGTAAATGACAAAGAAGCAGGTAAATGACAAAGAAACAGGTAAATGACCAAGAAACAGGTAAATGACAAAGAAACTGGTAAATGCCAAAGAAACAGGAAAATAACAAAGAAACAGGAAAATGACAAAGAAACTGGTAAATGACAACGAAACAGGTAAATGACAAAGAAACAGGTAAATGATAAATAAACAGGTAAATGACAAAGAAACAGGTAAATGATAAATAAACAGGTAAATGACAAAGAAACAGGTAAATGATAAAGAAACAGGTCAATGACAAAGAAACAGGTAAATGACAAAGAAGCTGGTAAATGACAAAGAAACAGGTAAATGATAAAGAAACAGGAAAATGACAAAGAAACAGGTAAATGACAAAGAAACGGGTAAATGACAAAGAAGCAGGTAAATGACAAAGAAACAGGTAAATGACCAAGAAACAGGTAAATGACAAAGAAACTGGTAAATGCCAAAGAAACAGGAAAATAACAAAGAAACAGGAAAATGACAAAGAAACAGGTAAATGATAAAGAAACAGGTAAATCACAAAGAAACAGGTAAATGACAAAGAAACAGGAAAATGATAAAGAAACATGTAAATGATGAAGAAACATGTAAATGATAAAGAAACAGGTAAATTATAAAGAAACAGGTAAATGACAAAGAAACAGGAAAATGACAAAGAAACTGGTAAATGACAACGAAACAGGTAAATGACAAAGAAACAGGTAAATGAAAAAGAAACTGGTAAATGACAAAGAAACAGGTAAATGATAAATAAACAGGTAAATGACAAAGAAACAGGTAAATGAGAAAGAAACATGTAAATGATGAAGAAACATGTAAATGATAAAGAAACAGGGAAATGATAAAGAAACAGGTAAATGACAAAGAAACAGGAAAATGACAAAGAAACAGGTAAATGATAAAGAAACAGGAAAATGACAAAGAAACAGGTAAATGATAAAGAAACAGGTAAATCACAAAGAAACAGGTAAATGACAAAGAAACAGGAAAATGATAAAGAAACATGTAAATGATGAAGAAACATGTAAATGATAAAGAAACAGGTAAATGATAAAGAAACAGGTCAATGACAAAGAAACAGGTAAATGACAAAGAAACATGTAAATGATAAAGAAACAGGTAAATTATAAAGAAACAGGTAAATGACAAAGAAACAGGAAAATGATAAAGAAACATGTAAATGATGAAGAAACATGTAAATGATAAAGAAACAGGTAAATTATAAAGAAACAGGTAAATGACAAAGAAACAGGAAAATGACAAAGAAACTGGTAAATGACAACGAAACAGGTAAATGACAAAGAAACAGGTAAATGATAAAGAAACATGTAAATGATGAAGAAACATGTAAATGATAAAGAAACAGGTAAATGATAAAGAAACAGGTAAATGACAAAGAAACAGTAATAAATAGCAAAAAAGATTTCGACATTCACATCGCACAAGGAAATTGAATATTTCAAAATGGAACATAATGGCGTAAAATCGAAACAATCACGCTGATCAAACAGCTTAATGAAATAATGAATATTTTCTTCATGTTGGTACGTATGGAAAGAATAGAGGTTCATACATGTATAACCCAGAGAGAAATACGTACATCTAAACACGTGTAGCAATTGAATTGATCAATAATTTTGTTATTAAGGACAAAGCTTCATCGACAAAACTAAGTTTAAATTAATGGACTTGGCAAGGCCTTTCTTATCTGTCCTGATAAGTTTTCAATAAATTAAGCACAAATATGTAAGTCAAGGGAGATTTTCCCCTTTTTTCACCATGGATACGCCAATAATCTGCTGGAAAATCTCCGTTTCGAAAGCAACAAAGATAAGACCAACAAGAAATGAAATCATTCTATTACTATCTTATGAGGACTTTATCCTAAGAATATTTAATCTTGGTATTTAACATTTCTAAACGTATCTTTGTAATGTCGACCGTAATGAATTTAAATATTAACACAATATTATATATTTGAAGCAGCTTCCATAATGATAATAATTCTGTATACATCAGTCACTAATTATGTATCTTCATCATTATTTAAATCAGTCCCGACTTCAAGGTAACAAAGTATATATGTTGGAGGTATACCTCAAATTTTTGACAAATTGACATCGTGGATTTTTATGAAAAACATAATTAGGAATGATTATAACAAATCATGTTAATTTCGTTATATTTGAAAATACATCTAATCGGTATAGAGAGTATCATAGAAACATTAAAATGATACTACTGTGATAAGTGTAATGGTTTGACAGTAACAAAACGAGTAACATAAGATCTGAAAAATCAATACGAGTTGTCGCGCTTCTCATGCAACCATTTGATGTTTTCTCGTGTTTTATGGTCGTCTTTGAGGATTAAATTCAAACATCAAAACGAAGACCTCATCATTTATGAAATATGATGAGGGTACCATACGCTTGACCAATAATATTATTAATATATGTGTGCTGAGATGTTGAAGTTTCCCTATCCTTTTTTTATCCTTTTGATCTTTTATATAGTTTTATGAAAACTATTGCATATTATTAAACTGTGAAATATATTTGCATATATTTTATCTTACTCGAATCCATGTGGTATGTCTTTCATTAAAGCCACTAAGATTTCCATGTGGTATGTCTACCATTAGAGCCACTAAGATGTCCATGTGGTATGTCTACCATTAGAGCCACTAAGATTTCCATGTGGTATATCTACCATTAGAGCGACTAAGATTTCCATGTGGTATGTCTACCATTAGAGCCACTAAGATTTCCATGTGGTATGTCTATCATTAGAGCCACTAAGATTTCCATGTGGTATGTCTACCATTAGAACCACTAAGATTTCCATGTGGTATGTCTACCATTAGAGCTACTAAGATTTCCTGTGGTATGTCTACCATTAGAGCCACTAAGATTTCCATGTGGTGTGTCTACCATTAGAGCGACAAAGATTTCCATGTGGTATGTCTACCATTAGAGCCACTAAGATTTCCTGTGGTATGTCTACCGTTAAAGCCACTAAGATTTCCAATTATGTTTTAGTTGACACTTCAACAGGTCATATATATAGCACTATTTACTAAGTAGTCGATTTATCGACATAATTTACAGAATCACATGCTACTATTTGTAAGGACCTATCAACAAACCGGTATCCTTCATTTACCTAGATCTGTATTTAGTAACAAACACTGTGTCCTAATCATCGAAGTCTTTTTGTATTTTCTACTATGTCATCAATTCCCTTTTCCAAAAATGCATATCAGAAAAAAAGTTTAATACAGGATTTTTTTGATGTACATCCGTAAACAGTATCAGACGTTTATNTATATATATATATATATATATATATATATATATATAATACACTTACACTCCATCCTTGATCTGCTGTGAAGTTCACGTTTTGTGTTTGCCATTGTCCACATGAACATGAACTGGTGATGTTAGCTAGGCTGATCCCTCTCCCTGTCGTCAGTTCAATGTAGGACCGGGTGTCATGGTAACAGGAGGCCATACAATAGCCCACGCCCACACAATGGTTCCCTTGTAGCAGTGTGAAATTGGACATCATCGTGGCTCCATTAAGGACAGTTGCAAGGTACTGTTCTAAATATATCCGTATTCATATTCAATATCTAATGTTATCCGTTATATGAGATACATTGTGAATAAGAAAATATGCCAAATACAATCTTAAGATACTGTGACAATAGTATGTCAATTGTCTATTTACCTGCGGTTACTTTGCTGCACCTGCGGTCATTATTGTAAACCAAGCCGCTCTGTCCTGAACTAACAAACCACTGGGGGTAGTGGTCAGCTGGAGGTGGTTGAGTGAAGATATTGAGGATGTTTCCTCCAAAGGCTACAAAACAGTGGTAGTTTGTGTTAGTAGGATTTCTCCTACCGTTCCAAGTATAAGAGTATGTCCCTTTAAAGCATTCGATCCAAATGTTCTGATTATATTTCGAGACTCTTATCTAACAGATCTATAACGTACATTTTGTAAACAGCCAATTTCTTACGATTGCGTTATCAGGCAGCAAGACAGGCAGCAGAGTTCCATTCCCTCGGTGATTGTAAAAGGAACCGGTATTAATATCTTTAAATGATTTAGCCCATACAATGAAGTTCTATAATCATCTATAACACACGTTTAAAGATCATGTCACGAAAATGAATTAGGCATATCATTTTTTATTTTCAAAATAAGGAGTTAAGATTGCGTACCTTAAAGTATATCACATACATTACTTTGTATTGTAAAATACGTTATGAATAAAACTCTGTGAGTATAAGTGTTTTACAAAGGTAATATATGTGTCTGTACTTCATCCCTAATACGTACAGCGTTGACATCTGTACAGTGTTTGTATTTTGAGGACATCATAGAAGCTGAGTGTGACTCCGTGTCCGAAGCTGACCCCCGTGACGTTGGTGGATATAGTGGGTAGAGATGTATTGATAGCGTACTGGTACGGTCCGTAGTGGGTGATGGACTCATAGTCGTACGGTAGACCGAGCAGGTCTGTATCTCCGGGCGGTATCTTGTTAAAGAAAGGCCGCGCAGCTGAGATGAAACAGAAATATATATATTACTCATTTTTTCTTGATAAAGCACTAATAAATATTACCGCAACTGAAACTATCGTTAAAATGCAATCAGAAGTTAAATCTCACGCGGCGCCTTGAATGAAAGATTACTCGTGAATATATAAATACTACAATTATGAAGTAAGGAAGTATATACTGAAACTCAATATTTCGATAAAGAAAGACAAGCAAAGTTATTAAGCAAATATCAAAGTTCCAGTCAAAAACAAATCGAGTTTATGAATGATCTACAGTAAGAAATTAGCATGATGTATTTATCATGCTGTACGTTACTATACTGTACGTTATCCATGTGCACTTGTTTGTACTGGTCCCTGTTGTGTCTCTGGTATACTTACCATCCTGAACGTTGTCCATGTGTACCTGTATGTACTGGTCCCTGTCGTGTCTCTGGAATACTTACCATCCTGAATGTTGTCCATGTGAACCTGTATGTACTGGTCCATGTCGTGTCTCTGGTATACTTACCATCCTGTACGTTGTCCATGTTTACCTGTATGTAATGGTCCCTGTCGTGTCTCTGGTATACTAACCATCCCGTATGTTGTCCATGTGAACCTGTATGTACTGGTCCATGTCGTGTATCTGGTATAATTACCATCCTGTATGTTGTCCATGTTTACCTGTATGTCCTGGTCCCTGTCGTGTCTCTGGTATACTTACCCTCCTGTATGTTGTCCATGTGAACCTGTATGTACTGGTCCATGTCGTGTCTCTGGTATACTTACCATCCTGTACGTTGTCCATGTTTACCTGTATGTAATGGTCCCTGTCGTGTCTCTGGTATACTTACCATCCTGAACGTTGTCCATGTGTACCTGTATGTACTGTTCCCTGTCGTGTCTCTGGTATACTTACCATCCTGTACGTTGTCCATGTTTACCTGTATGTACTGGTCCCTGTCGTGTCTCTGGTATACTTACCATCATGTACGTTGTCCATGTGTTCCTGTATGTACTGGTCCCTGTTGTGTCTCTGGTATACTTACCATCCTGAACGTTGTCCATGCGTACCTGTATGTACTGGTCCCTGTCGTGTCTCTGGAATACTTACCATCCTGAATGTTGTCCATGTGAACCTGTATGTACTGGTCCATGTCGTGTCTCTGGTATACTTACCATCCTGTACGTTGTCCATGTGCACCTGTATGTACTGGTCCCTGTCGTGTCTCTGGAATACTTACCATCCTGAATGTTGTCCATGTGAACCTGTATGTACTGGTCCATGTCGTGTCTATGGTATACTTACCATCCTGTATGTTGTCCATGTGAACCTGTATGTACTGGTCTCTGTCGGGTCTCCGATGTTCAGGATACAGCCCCATTGTGACCACCAACAGAGAAACTATATCTCTCTTGTTAAAACAGTCGTCAGCTAGGTAAAGGTGCTGTCTGCTTGGTTTAATTTCCCCCACATCTTCAGTAAAGCATACACTGGATAACACCGTAAAAAGAGACAAAAAATAAAGAATTCCCTGTTGATTTCATTAACAATTAATACAATTGTTTGATAAAGAAAGATATAGTAGGTTTTTTTATCATTGATCAACACAAAGTTAGGAAACAAAACTGCTCACTTCCATTTTTATGTACAAATACGATTCAAATTCTGATTTTATTTTACGCCGTTTTGTTATTTCTGTATTTATTTAATTTTAAGTACGACACAACATACTGAAACGAAACTACCCTCAAATTATCGTTTCTAAGATATCGTTTCTTCAATAAAATGCAAAATAACATAACCAATTATTTATGTTAAACGATGTTTCTAATCAATTTATACGGATACATAAAACGTACATGATCATTATTATCAAGCTTTTACCCAAGTTTTGTTTCTTTGTAATAACAATTGAATACATCAACTCAAATACCCGGTACAAACATGTTAATGTTTATTGACATTATAATAAGCTTTAAAAATACGACCGCATGTTGTATAAATCATAAACTCACTTGTTCAACTGTACCACAGTGAAATGAAATGGAAAAGAAAAAAGGATTCAAACACTAAAGGGCAATTAAAACACACTAAAAATAGTAAGGTTAATCGTCAAACCTCTCTACTTCAGTTAAGTTTTTACAATTTTTCAAATAAATGTTTTCAACATAAAGGAATCCTTCTATGTTGAAACTTTAGTATTTCTCTAGCTTTACTCCTGTTTTTCATACATACCCATTATTCGAATAAGTAATATACAAGTAATGGCCATCAATCACATTCTTCTCTCTGAATGAGAAACAGGCACATCCTCCAGTTTTTACTGCTTGCTCAATTGTCCGCATCGCCTGCTCGATAAGGAGTCTTTGGTTGTCATCTACATAAATAAGTATGTTGTCAATCCAGAGTTAAACTGGTATCGGAGGATGTTTCCATTAAAATAATAACAATAATATACAGCATTTATATAGCGCCCTATATAATTTATAAAATTACTCTAAGGCGCTTTACAACATATGGATAATAGTAATGGTTATAATTGTGAAAACAAACAACAAAGGCTTGCAATCACTTTCATACATTTAACAAGCAATGTGCACATAATTGAACAAATAAAAGGGTGGTATTTACATGACGTCTTTGCAAAGATTCTAAAATGCAGACGTGAAGAGGTGAGTTTTGATGTCCCTCTTGAACTTGGCCAGGGTATTTGACTTCCTAATAGCAGATGGTACGCTATTCCACAACGTAGCTGAAACCCTCCCAAAGCATCTGCTTCCGTAGGTCACAGTACGAGATTTTGGGACACACAACAAAGATTCTGACTCCGACCGCAGTGATCTTGACGGCTGATACAGGGTAACAAGTTCCTGTAGGTTCTGAGGAGCTGTTCCATTCAGTGCCTTGTATGTGTATACCAGAATTTTGTACTGCGACCGGTATCGTACAGGTAAAAGAACTACATCGGGAGATGGAGCTACCATTATCCATTTATTGCAAAATATACGATCTTCATCAAGCTCCAAGCTATGACCATTTTGAAGAAATAGGTTATCAGGGTCCCTATACGAACATTTGTTCCATATAACTGCCTGATAGTTGGCTCTAAGTACATGCATGGGGAGGAAGTCATTACAGGGAGGCAACTGTCCTGACTCTATTTCCACCTTTTTTTGCACCGGAAAGATGCACGTATGCTCATTTACACCACTGATAGATGTTGTTTTCGAGAATAAAAACGGCTCGTTAGTTCCTGTAGGACTTGGTACAAATAAAAAAATAACGCTGACCTAAATCCATTGAAACCTCATGCGATGTAGCGTTTATTACTACTAATAATAATATACAACATTTATATAGCGCCCTATATAATTTGTAAAATTAGTCTTAACGCGCTTTACAACATATAGATAATAGTACTAGTTATAGTTGTGAAACAAAACCAAAGGCTTACAATCTCTTTTATACATAAATCAAGCAGATACTCATCGCAATGGTGATTTTGTATGTCCCTCTTGAATTTGGCCAGGGTATTCGACTTTCTAATAAAAGATGGTAAGCTCTTCCACAACGTGGTCGAAACCCTCCCAAAGCACCGGTTTCCATAGGTCACAGTACGAGATTTTGGGACACACAACAATGATTCTGACTCCGACCGCAGTGATCTTGACGGCTGATACAGGTAACAAGTTCATGTAGGTAACTGAGGAGCTGTTCCATTCAGTGCCTTGTAAGTGAACACCACAATTTTTCACTGCGACCTGTACCGTACAGGTAACCAGTGCAATGAATATAGCACAGGTGTGATGTGTCCTCTCTTTCGAGTACGAGTAACTAGCCGTGCTGCAGTGTTCTGGACCCTCTGCAAACGACTAGTTAGTCAGATATACCACAGAGCAGGGCGTTTACCATAATTCAACCGAGAGGTAATAAGTGAATGCACCAAAATCTTGCCTGCGTCTTCAGTTATAAACTGCCGGAAACAGCCGATGTTCCTGATCTGGCAGTAACAGGATTTGGCACTAGCGTCCACTTGTTTACTTAAAGCAACTCAGTGTCTTAAAAGCAACCCAAGTGCCTTAAGTTTGCCCTGTCCAGAAAAGGCATCACTGTGTTACATTCTGTGTAAGCATGCAGTCACAGAAATGCAACACACACATTCCTACTAAGACCTCTAACATTTTGTCTGGAATCTGAAAACAGGTTTCATCGCAGGTGCTATACAGCACCTTGCTTCCAAGCAATTTTCAGACATTATCTGTTTGCAAGTCTACAACGGCAAATATCACCTTTGCTGAATTGACCAATCAAAACACTCATTACAAACTTCCGTGAAAAAATCGTTGGCATATGTACCGCAAGCAGGCATCGAGTTTTTAAGATATTTAACCCTAGGTGTAACCACGCACGTACTGTTTTTACTTCAAATGCGTACATGCATGTACAAACTCTTTTACATGTACGTACGACTTTTCATCCCATTTGTACATCTTTTTATCTCGTGGTGTGAATATACGACCTTTTACTTGGAATATATGAAAAAAAAAAAATCTCGTTTGTACGAGTTCGTATACAGATGGCACGAATACGCTTTCGCACATCTTAAACATATACGTAACTGTTATTCTAGTTTTAACGACATTTTAAGTTTTACCTGTCTTATTTTGGGAGGTAACCGGAGTACCTGTAGAAAACCCATGTGTTCAGGCAGGTGAGTCCATACCTTTTCCCATCCGATCGGCTAATCGAACCCCGGTCGCCTTGGTTAAAGACATGTACTCTATAAATACACTACACCAACCGAGAACCCACTATTTGATTTAACATAATCTTTGTAGTTTAGTGGTAGGACGCCGGGCTGGTGACCGAAGGGTTGCGGGTTCGAGTCACGCCACGGCACTGTGTTGTATTTTTGAGCAAGATACTTTACTCCGCTTGAGTACGTGGTTGGGCAGAGCTAGAATTTTGAAATGCAAGCTGTAAGCGCCGAAATGGTAGCACCGGCTGTATGCTCCCCTGGGAGTTGAGAAAGATATTGGCTGATTGCAAATGCCCTATAACCACGGATAATAATTTATGAACCGCTTAGAGACGGCCTTCGAACTATACTGTGATAAAGCGGTATAAGAAAAATCTCAAAGTATCATTAATATGAATTATTACGACTTTTTTACTCGATAGTACATCATATTTATTCGTTTGTAGGACTTTCATCTCGTACGTACGACTTATTACAAATGCGTAACGTTCCGGGGTCCGTACCCTAGTCACTTCTAAGGATCCATGTGCTGTAGGCTTAATCATAACTATACTACAGTTGCAAATAAAAATATGTGTTACTAATACATGATATCATTATGAGCAACATAATTACTGCACGATATCCTAAAACTATAACCAAAGCTATCTGCTCTGTATTCAATATAACGACACACTAAATCCACACACTACTGTGCAGCCCGGTGGGTCCTTAACAGACATAATAACACCTCCAGTGTCACGGACATGCTATCAGATCTAGGATGGAGGACACTGGAACACTGACGTGCTGACGCCAGACTGACAATATTTTATAAAATCCGGAACAACCTATTAGACATCAACCCGAAGGATCAGCTCATCTAATCTCGGAGCAGAGGCCTTGAATACCAGTACCGGCAGATCCAAACCACCAAAGACTATGCCAAGACAGAAGTATCGAAGATCAACCGCAGTCGCCTCATCTTAACTCCAACTCTCCCTTCTTACTTTCCTCTTTTCCTCTCTCCCTCTTGTCTTCCTTCCCTATATATTCATATTTTCCTATGCTTTCGATCAAACTTTGCTTTATTTTTCCCTTTCGCGCACCTGGTGATATCTACCAGTCAACCGGCAAAAGAAAAAAAATAATCCAGGCAGTACACAACTCGACTTCCCCGTCGCGGCTAGCCCTAGTCACTGTAGTTGCCCTATAGTCAGCTACCTACATGACCTAGTCACGCCGAGCACGGTAGCCTTATATAACTACGGCACTCTAATATCGACGACTACCCCTAGTCACGACTAGAACTAGTCGTTTAGAACTAGTCTGCGCCCCCTTGTGCTCTACACAGCTATACCCAATCACGACTAGCCTGGTCGCGACTAGTACTGTACAGCTTTACCCAGTCGCGACTACCTGACTAGTACTGCACAGCTTTACCCAGTCGCGACTACCCTAGTCACGACTAGTACTGCACAGCTTTACCCAGTCGCGACTATCCTAGTCACGACTAGTACTGCACAGCTTTACCCAGTCGCGACTACCACTGTACAGCTATGTACCGCGACACCTTCTGTCTAACAGTATCTCGCTTCAGCACTCAACCGTTTATCAAATATGCCTACCAAGGCAGTGTGTGGATCAAGGCAAGACTATTTCAGTCACTTCTATCTTTCCAACACAAAGCCGGTCTCGTCTATATTACTTACGATCTATCGCTGCTGTCAACACGCCGAGATCAGAACAGAACTTGGCCAATTGTTTCTGGTTTTTGCCTATTTTTACACTCTGGCTATCTTAGTGACACCTGGCGATGATGGTACCTCTAAAACTTTCTATCTTTTTATCGTTTGAATTACGGAGACACAACACAAATGAATAACGACAGCAGATCGACGTATCTAACCTGAATAACATGCAAAATCAGCGAATAGGATTACGATATATACATTCCTTAATATCTTGTTTTGTATCCTTTATCTTGTGCCTACGACATTTCACATGCCCACAAAAACACCCAGCACAATTATGAATTAATATGTGTATTAATTGTGTAGCCCTGCGTTCTGAGGTAAATGATTACTTATGAAGTGATATTTTAAAGCAAATCGAGATATTGTATCCCCTTTATCGGTTTGTGTACCGCGCTTTGGACACACACACTCACGTACACACACACGTATACACACCCTCGCACGAGCATGCCTGAATGCGAATTATTTTGTACGCTGCATTACCAGGTACTTACCGCAGGGAAGATAATGTAATGACGGTTCTTACCATAATTACTGCTCATTGCGTAATGTATAGTTTGTGTATGCCATAACCTCTGGTGATCAAGTAGGACATTTCTCAGCTGTGAAAACAAGAGGCAAAAAGTCATTGGCTATCGAGGCAGTATCCCTGCAGGTTCTCCGTTCATTATATTCAGTGTAACAATTTACTTTTTCAAACTGTATCATGGATATAATTTCGAATAGCTTCAACTTTTAACTCACGATTAATTCCATCATCATTATTATTACATACTATTTAAAGAAAGAATTGGTAATGCAGCTCATACCTGCTTATCAAGTAAGTATGCCATGTCGACATTTCGAGTAAGCGAGAAGAGATTTTGAGACAGATTCTCAAAATGTCGAGTTCATAAAAAAGTTGATTTGTTTTCATGATAGAGCATAGGGCTTTATGTAAGTTTGTCACCAATAGAAATGTGTGTTCTAGGACCATAACAATATTTGCTAAAATATTCATTATTTGTATTTACATTTTGATAGAGAAATAATGCTTTATTTAGTTAGTCATGCAAAAGCAAATTACAGTTCGCACATACAGATGCGCACATCAAACAATAATTTCGTACTTATTGACAAAAGGTAGAATGCATGTTAAGCGAGGAGGAATACATTCTGTACATAGTGGCAGTGTGAATTATTTTCAAGAAAATCGATCGTATTCCTTATCTATACGGAAAAGAAATGATACTGTATTAGGGATGAATTAACATAGAAAACACTCCCATTTGCATATAATATTTCTGACTGATCTAGACCCTAAATGATATATCGACAGAATTAAAACATTTGCAGCAGTATTTGAGTTGGAAAAAATGGAAATTGGGATAAGTAGTATACAAACAATGTTGTTGGATCGCATAACGTTACTCGATGTGCGGTGTACGCACGATGTGCGCATCATGTTCGAACGATAACAATCTAGACGATAATTGCTTGAGAACATACATGTACATTTGTGCCATTACAATCTTGGTGTGTGTAAATTGGGGAATGGCTTAACAATATATATGGTTTCGTGTTTGATTCTATATTCTAGCTGCATCTCTAAACTTATATTTTTACCTAAATTTTCTTAAAATTTAGAAAAAAATAATGTGTGTTACCTAAACGACCGAAACCGACACATATAAAATTAAAACCCGTATGAACACGGCCCAATACTGAAAAAGTTGAACATAATCATGAATATTGTGTGCAAAAAAAATGTAACAGGCTTCCGGATGTTTTCATTTTATAACATTATTTACCAATTGTACCAAATTTATCATTTATGCGGAGAGAAGCGCACAACGTGATGAACGATTGTTATATCGCACAGTTGTACGCATAATGTACGGCCTGTGTGCGCAGGATGTGCGCACGCTACTTTAAGAGAGTATTGCGGTCACACAACTGTACATCATTTTCTTAATCTATTTTCATAAACTACTTGAACATTGTATAAAAAAATAACCAACATAAAACATACTGAAAACTACAAAATTGTTGTAAAAGATTTACAATGCAAAATTAGAGGAGAAACATATAGTATATAATGAGTTAAAAAGGAATACAGTGCGTACAAAGAGGTAAAAAAATAGTAGATAATGCAAGAATGCAGAATGCACTGCATACAAAGAGGAGAAGATCACAGAACAAAGTTAATGAAAGAAGGACGCAGTGCGTACTTAGAGGGGAAGAACACATTTCATACTGAGAGAAAGAAGAATGTAATGCGTACTTAGAGGGGAAGAACACATTTCATACAGAGAGAAAGAAGAATGTAGTGCGTACTTAGAGTAGAGGAACACAGTTCATGCTGGGAGAAAGAAGAATGTAGTGTGTACTTAGAGGGGAAGAACACATTTCATACTGAGAGAAAGAAGAACGTAGTGTGTACTTAGAGTAGAGGAACACAGTTCATACTGAGAGAAAGAAGGACGCAGTGCGTACTTAGAGTAGAGGAACACAGTTCATGCTGGGAGAAAGAAGAATGTAGTGTCTACTTAGAGGGGAAGAACACATTTCATACAGAGAGAAAGAAGAATGTAGTGCGTACTTAGAGTAGAGGAACACAATTCATGCTGGGAGAAAGAAGAATGTAGTGTGTACTTAGAGTAGAGGAACACAGTTCATACTGAGAGAAGGAAAGACGCAGTGTGTACTTAGAGTAGAGGAACACATTTCATACTGAGTAAAAGAAGAATGCAGTGCGTACTTAGAGTAGAGGAACACAGTCCATACTGAGAGAAAGAAGAATGTAGTGGGTACTTAGAGGGGAAGAACACATTTCATACTGAGAGAAAGAGGGACGCAGTGCGTACTTAGAGTGGAGGAACACAGTTCATACTGAGTGAAAGAAGAATGAAGTGCGTACCTAGAGGGGAAGAACACAGTTCATATTAGGAACACAGTTCATACTGAGAGAAGGAAAGACGCTGTGTGTACTTAGAGTAGAGGAACACAGTTCATACTGAGTGAAAGAAGAATGAAGTGCGTACCTAGAGGGGAAGAACACAGTTCATATTGAGAGAAAGAAGTATGCAGTGCGTACTAGTAGGAGAAGAACACAGATCATACTGAGTGAAAGAAGGACGCAGTGCCTAATTAGAGTAGAGGAACTTGTTCATACTGAGTGAAAGAAGAATGAAGTGCGTACCTAGAGGGGAAGAACACAGTTCATATTGAGAGAAAGAAGTATGCAGTGCGTACTTAGAGTCGAGGAACACAGTTCATACTGAGAGAAAGAGGGACGCAGTGCGTACTTAGAGGAGAAGAACACAGCTCATACTGAGTGAAAGAAGTATGCAGTGCGTACTAGTAGGAGAAGAACACAGATCATACTGAGTGAAAGAAGGAAGCAGTGCGTACTTAGAGTAGAGGAACACAGTCCATACTGAGAGAAAGAAGAATGTAGTGTGTACTTAGAGGGAAAGAACACATTTCATACTGAGAGAAAGAGGGACGCAGTGCGTACTTAGAGTAGAGGAACACAGTTCATACTGAGTGAAAGAAGGACGCAGTGCGTACTTAGAGGGGAAGAACACAGTTCATACTGAGAGAAAGAAGAATGTAGTGCCTACTTAGAGGAGAAGAACACAGTTCATACTGAGTGAAAGAAGAATGTAGTGCGTACCTCGAGGGGAAGAACTCAGTTCCTCTTGAGAGAAAGAAGTATGCAGTGCGTACTTAGAGTAGAGGAACACATTTGATACCGAGTGAAGGAAGAATGCAGTGCGTACTTAGAGTCGAGGAACACAGTCCATACTGAGTGAAAGAAGGACGCAGTGCGTACTTAGAGTAGAGGAACACATTTGATACCGAGTGAAAGAAGAATGCAGTGCGTACTTAGAGGAGAAGAACACAGTTCATATTGAGAGAAAGAAGTATGCAGTGCGTACGTACATAGAGTAGAGGAACACAGTTCATACTGAGTAAAAGAAGGGCGCAGTGCGAACTTAGAGTAAAGGAACTTGTTCATACTGTGTGAAAGAAGGATGAAGAACACAGTCCATACTGAGAGAAAGAAGAATGTAGTGTGTACTTAGAGTAGAGGAACACAGTTCATACTGAGTAAAAGAAGGACGCAGTGCGTACTTAGAGTAGAGGAAAACATTTGATACCGAGTGAAAGAAGAATGCAGTGCGTACTTAGAGTCGAGGAACACAGTCCATACTGAGTGAAAGAAGGACGCAGTGCGTACTTAGACTAGAGGAAGACATTTGATACCGAGTGAAAGAAGAATGCAGTGCGTACTTAGAGTCGAGGAACACAGTCCATACTGAGTGAAAGAAGGACGCAGTGCGTACTTAGAGGGGAAGAACACAGTTCATATTGAGAGAAAGAAGTATGCAGTGCGTACTTAGAGGAGAAGAACACAGTTCATATTGAGAGAAAGAAGTATGCAGTGCGTACTAAGAGGAGAAAAAACACAGTTTATACTGAGTGAAAGAAGAATGCGAAAGAAGAATGAAGTGCGTACTTAGAGTAGAGGAACACATTTGATACTGAGTGAAAGAAGTATGCAGTGCGTACTTACAGTAGAGGGGACGCAGTGCGTACTTAGAGTAGAGGAACACAGTTCATACTGAGTAAAAGAAGGGCGCAGTGCGAACTTAGAGTAAAGGAACTTGTTCATACTGTGTGAAAGAAGGATGAAGAACACAGTCCATACTGAGAGAAAGAAGAATGTAGTGTGTATTTGGATGAGAAGTACTGAGTGAAAGAAGGACGCAGTGCGTACTTAGAGGGGAAGAACACAGTGTTCATATTGAGAGAAAGAAGTATGCAGTGCGTACTTAGAGGAGAAGAACACAGTTCATATTGAGAGAAAGAAGTATGCAGTGCGTACGTACATAGAGTAGAGGAACACAGTTCATACTGAGTAAAAGAAGGGCGCAGTGCGAACTTAGAGTAAAGGAACTTGTTCATACTGTGTGAAAGAAGGATGAAGAACACAGTCCATACTGAGAGAAAGAAGAATGTAGTGTGTATTTGGATGAGAAGTACTGAGTGAAAGAAGGACGCAGTGCGTACTTAGACTAGAGGAAGACATTTGATACCGAGTGAAAGAAGAATGCAGTGCGTACTTAGAGTCGAGGAACACAGTCCATACTGAGTGAAAGAAGGACGCAGTGCGTACTTAGAGTGGAGGAACACAGTTCATACTGAGTGAAAGAAGAATGCAGTGCGTACATAGAGTAGAGGAACACAGTTCATACTGAGTGAAAGAAGAATGCAGTGCGTACATAGAGTAGAGGAACACAGTTCATACTGAGTGGAAGAAGGACGCAGTGCGTACTTAGAGTAGAAGAACTTGTTCATACTGAGTGAAAGAAGGATGAAGTGCGTACTTAGAGGGGAAGAACACAGTTTATACTGAGAGAAAGAAGAATGTAGTGCGTACTTAGAGGGGAAGAACACAGTTCATATTGAGAGAAAGAAGTATGCAGTGCGTACTTAGAGGGGAAGAACACATTTCATACTGAGAGAAAGAAGAATGTAGTGTGTATTTGGATGAGAAGAACACATTTCATACTGAGTGAAAGAAGAATGAAGAGCGTACTTAGAGAAGAAAAACACAGTTCATACTGAGAGAAAGAAGAATGTAGTGTGTATTTGGATGAGAAGAACACATTTCATACTGAGTGAAAGAAGAATGAAGAGCGTACTTAGAGTAAAGGAACTTGTTCATACTGAGTGAACGAAGGACGCAGTGCGTACTTAGAGAAGAAGAACACAGTTCATACTGAGTGAAAGAAGAATGTAGTGTGTACTTAGAGGGGAAGAACACATTTCATACTGAGAGAAAGAAGAATGTAGTGCCTACTTAGAGGAGAAGAACACAGTTCATATTGAGAGAAAGAAGTATGCAGTGCGTACTTAGAGTAGAGGAACACAGTTCATACTGAGTGGAAGAAGGACGCAGTGCGTACTTAGAGTAGAGAAACTTGTTCATACTGAGTGAAAGAAGGACGCAGTGCGTACTTAGAGTAGAGGAACGTGTTCAAACTAAGTGAAAGTAGAATGAAGTGCGTAGTTAGAGGGGAAGAACACAGTTCATATTGAGAGAAAGAAGTATGCAGTGCGTACTTAGAGTAGAGGAACTTGTTCATACTGAGTGAAAGAAGGACATAGTGCGTACTTAGAGTAGATGAACACAGTCCATACTGAGAGAAAGAAGAATGTAGTGTGTACTTAGAGTAGAGGAACACAGTTCATCCTGAGTGAAAGAAGGACGCAGTGCCTACTTAGAGTAGAGGAACACAGTTCATACTGAGAGAAAGAAGGTCGCAGTGCGTGCTTAGAGTAGAGGAACACAGTTCATACTGAGAGAAAGAAGGTCGCAGTGCGTGCTTAGAGTAGAGGAACACAGTTCATACTGAGTGAAAGAAGAATGCAATGCGTACTTAGAGTAGAGGAACGTGTTCAAACTAAGTGAAAGAAGAATGAATTGCGTACATAGAGGGGAAGAACACAGTTCATATTGAGAGAAAGACGTATGCAGTGCGTACTTCGAGTAGAGGAACTTGTTCATACTGAGTGAAAAAAGGACGTAATGCGTACTTAGAGTAGAGGAACACAGTCCATACTGAGAGAAAGAAGAATGTAGTGTGTACTAAAAGGGGAAGAACACATTTCATACTGAGAGAAAGAAGAATGTAGTGTGTACTTAGAGTAGAGGAACACAGTTCATACTGATTGAAAGAAGAATGCAGTGCGTACTTAGAGTAGAGGCACACAGTTCATACTGAGTGAAAGAAGGACGCAGTGCGTACTTAGTGGGGAAGAACACAGTTCATATTGAGAGAAAGAAGTATGCAGTGCGTACTTAGAGGAGAAGAATACTGTTCATATTGAGATGCAGAAGTATGCAGTGCGTACTTAGAGGGGAAGAACACAGTTTATACTGAGTGAAAGAAGAATGCAATGCGTACTTAGAGAAGAAAAACACAGTTCATACTGAGAGAAAGAAGAATGTAGTGTGTACTTAGATGAGAAGAACACAGTTCATACTGAGTGAAAGAAGAATGAAGAGCTTACTTAGAGTAGAGGAACTTGTTCATATTGAGTGAAAGAAGAACGCAGTGCGTACTTAGAAAAAAGACCACAATTCATATTGAGTGAAAGAAGTATGCAGTGCGTACTTAGAGGAGAAGAACACAGTTCATATTGAGAGAAAGAAGTATGCAGTGCGTACTAAGAGGAGAAAAAACACAGTTTATACTGAGTGAAAGAAGAATGCAATGCGTACTTAGAGAAGAAAAACACAGTTTATACTGAATGATTGAAGAATGCAGTGCGTAGTTAGAAGAGAAGAACTGTTCATACTGAGTAAAAAAGAACGCAGTACGTACTAAGAGGGGAAGAACACAGTTCATTCTGAGTGAAAGAAGAATGAAAAGCGTACTTAGAGTAGAGGAACACAGTTCATACTGAGTGAAAGAAGAACGCAGTGCGTACTTAGAGAAGAAAAACATAATTCATATTGAGTGAAAGAAGAACGCAGTGCGTACTTAGAGAAGAAGAACACATTTGATACTGACTTAAAGAAGTATGCAGAGCGTAGTTAGAGGAGAAGAACGCAGTCCATACTGAGAGAAAGAAGGTCGCAGTGCGTACTTAGAGTAGAGGAACTTGTTCATACTGAGTGAAAGAAGAATGCAGTGCGTACTTAGAGTAGAGGAACACAGTTCATACTGAGTGAAAGAAGGACGCAGTGCGTACTTAGAGTAGAGGAACACAGTCCATACTGAGAGAAAGAAGAATGCAGTGGGTACTTAGAGGAGAAGAACATAATTCATACTGTGTGAAAGAAGTAGGCAGTGCGTACTTAGGAGGCATTTATCAATACCTGTTCACAGAATGTGCTTACCTCCTAAACGATCAATACAGTACGCATTCATTGAACAGCAAGAGGCCCATGGGCCTTAACGGTCACCCGAGTTCTGATATATTTATACAGAGAGTTGATTTTTGTTTTTAAAACATGAACAGAAGATTTATTCAAAGTGACAAAAAACAATAAAACAACCTTATTCAATATCTAGCATACAGATTTAAGACTGAAAAATATTTCAAACTAGCACTTCTAATTCTAAACAAATAAAATGAAGAAATTTTAGCACACTGACTCCTTTGGGCGCCCTTGGGGTTAGAGCTGGCTTCAAATTTTAAAAGTATCAAACTGTCAACTCAGGGCTATAATTCCAATCAAGTTATCAACATGTAATATTCATAGTATCATTTGCCATAATTAATTTTGCACCCTCCCCTTCCCCAGGGGCAAACGTAAGAACCATAGGGTCATAAAATTCACAATTTGGGTAGAGCACCTTAACACCCTTCCATCTATGAAGAGTGTTTCATTCTACCATATCTGGGTCTTGAGAAGAAGATTTTTGAAATTTCAATCAATTCGGCCCTTTTTGGCCCCACCCATAAGCCCCTAGGGGTCAGTCAGAGCTGATATGTGCATATCATCAAACTGCTATCCAATACTGATAATGCTAACCCAAATTGAATTACTTCCAATGGAAATTAAACAAATGTTGGTCCAAAACGTGTTTCCCCTATATAGACTATAGTAAAGTCTCCCCCCCCCCTCCCCAGGGGGGAACGTGAGACCCCAGGGTCAAGAAATTCACAAGTTTGGTAGGACCCTTCCATCTATGAAGAGTATTTGATTCTACCATATATGGGTCTTGACAAAAAGATATTTTTGATATTTTAGTCAATTTGACCCTTTTTTGGATAATGATTTTAGATACTCTAAGATATGTGTTTTTGTGTGTCCAATTTAATAGTTTATTATTGCTGTGAAAGTATCAGATATTCAATATTATAAAACATAATATAACAATGTGTAAAATGTTACAGTATTGGTATTGTATCGTTTATTTGGGGTTACATTTGTACCTGATTAAGCTTTTTCAACTTTGATACATTATATCTTTGATGAAAATCAAGCACACGGAATCTTATCGTAACAGTTATACCTCACGTTATATATGTTCTATATATATTCTGAGTATGTTGCTTACCTGTACGTTTCCTGACACATCTCCGTAGATGCTACAAACAGCAAAAAAAAACAGAAGACAGTACAATTTGATGCAGGCCATTCTCCACGTAATAGACAAGCTACAGTATACACACAATGACCGTGAGATATACACAGACAACCCGGAAGGTTCTGATAGCAAACTCTGGTAACAGAAATATGCTTCTCTTTTGATTACCGTCTTGCGCAATGTATATACGATTGACCATTTATTGATAAGAATATTACACGAGTGTAATACATAAACGTTACAACAACTGAATATATGTAATGTCAAACTGTTTATTATGGCATCTTTCAGCTTAAATATATCATAGTTAATATATTATATACTTCAAAAATATTGGTAAGCAATATAAATCGATAGTTTGAATAAGAATGGTTGATGAAAAACATTTGTATTTGCATTTTTATTCATTTACTTTGTGGGCTGTTTTTTGAGGAAACAGTTTAAATATTGCTATGCTACTTTATTTTCAATTTTGACCGCATCAATATTTCCCCATTGATTCGTGCTATGAGACAACTTTGATCATAATTGGCACATTGTGCAGTGCGCATGGGATCATAACATGGGCGGAAACTGGAGAAACATGAGGAAACAAAAGTCGTCAATAAAGCAATCTCATAGCTTTTCGTGTTCAATCAGGTTTTAAACCCGGACGACGTGCTGAAAGGCGAGTGCATTATGCACTGCATTGCGCCATTAATGGCATAAAGAAATAATATATAAATTCCGATCATATCACTTTTTGTTTATTAGTTTTAATGATTACCTAAGATATCTTTATAAAACCATATACACCTAATGCCGCTGTCACGTTGATACTTTAAATTGATTTAATAATTTTATCATTGAAAAATCGATTATGTAAACATTGTGCGAGACGGTGTTTACAAACAACGATGTAGTATAGTTCTGTTACCAGTGCATGTTATCGGAACCTTCCGGGTTGTGTGTCCATATCCAACATCATTATAATGTTTTACACTTTCACATAAAAAAAAATGTTACTCTGAAAAAAAGTTTTCTGTTAGGACGACTTTAATCAAATCGAGTTGTCTATTGCTTTTGACTGCTAGTATCGTCTACCTGGAGGTATCAGCAGACATTTAAACAGCATATTTAATTTAATTTCACTGCTGCTTGTGTTATTTAATTTAATGTACTTCAGTAATATACTTGTTATATAATTGATATTTATTTTAGATTTGAGCTCCATTATTTAAAAGATCATTACTTTTTTACAATATCATAATTATAGCTCTTGTTTCTATTTATGACTTCATTGTCTCTTTTTAATTCACACTATATTAGTGTATATCCTGTAAATTTTTACACTTTGCTACATTAGCATATAAGTACATTACACTAGTATAGTGTCTTAACTTGTCTTTCATAACACTTGTGTGACATTCAAGTGTGATATCATATGCTCTAATGTATAATTTTAGCATATCTAATTTGAATTGTTGTCCTGATTTTATAGTTATTCATAAGTACTGTGATCCTTGTTAAATTTTATATATGTTTTGTCGCAAGAATAGCACTACAGTGCTAATGTTATTATGTTACATGTATATGCGACGTTAAATAAAGCTTCTTGAATCTTGAATCTTGAATACTCTAAGCATAGACAGACAGACAGACAGACATTCTTTATTTCCTCCTTTAGGAGATTTCATATGTCAAAACTGTTTTACAAAATGTGTCTTAATTTATATATAAACATCGTTTTGAGAAGTAAATGTATTAAATAATGACGTATTGGACATTCGTATAACAGCATTATATAATTCATGATACAAAATGTTCACTACAATATATATTCCTCATACATCTTTTACATATATACGTTTACACTTATATATACATCAATAGGTTAATTATAGAAAACTCTCCATCTCACATACCATTCCTTTGATATTTCCAGCCATATTTATCATTAGTGTTTCCCACTCTATATCAGTCAAGTATACATGTGAATGATCGCCAAGTAAAAAGCTGCACTGGTCTTCAATGCTTAGTTCTGAAAACTGTACATATGACAATACTTCTATAGCATTTACAACACCATCCATCATTTTATCACGGCTTAAGTATAAACCTGGACATTCTAATATAAAATGCAACACAATATCTTTACTTGTTTTCTCACATATCTTACATATAACCAATTCATTCTCACAAGATATTGAGTATTTAAATAACTCTACTAGATCCCATACATGTTGTTGAGAAATTTGTTTAGTGCTTAGTTGCAATATTGGATTTATTCCCGGATCACTATGGATAGCAGCATATCTCTTATGTTCATCACGTGTATTTAGTTTATCTGTCCACCTTATATAATAAAAATCATATATAAATCTATTAATGAAACGTTTCCAGCATAACATCGGTGGTACGAATATATTTAGAACATAGTCATTGATAAATGACTCTATATTAAATTTAACCATTATGTTATATATATCAGGCAGAAATCCTATTTGAGTAGTTGATGAACTACCATACATAAATTGGCATAGTCTAATAATAAAAAGTGTTTTCCATAAAAATTTTGAACCACCTAAACACAATTTGTTCCAAAATAATAGTTTCCTTCTCTCCACTTCGCTCCACATATCAAATGACCCTAAACACTGAGCAGTCACTGCTGTGGAGGAAGTTTTAGGAAGACCAATAAGCATAGAGTTTGAGCAACATTTGAATTTTTGTTTGCGTTGTGCTGTGCTCTACACTGTAATTTATAAGAAAACGCACCATATGCAAATAATTTTATCCCATTTGCCCCAACGCAGGGGATTATATCATTATTTGCATCTGAATGAAATATACAGACATTATTGCTTTAGACCAAATGGTTCTTTATATAATGTTAATAAATCTGTAATATATTTGATTTTTGTGACTTTAGCCGTAGGCATCAATTTCATTAGCATGATAAATCGTTACAACACTCCATCCGATATATATTCTGACCAATTAATATTACTCGGAAGATTTTGATTTTCAACAAGAAATTATTTTAAAAAATAAAAGCGATGGACAACTGATATTTCAATTTTGCAATTCATGTTTTTGTCTTAGTGTTACACTTGCTTTGCTTTATTAAAGATTTTATAGTGTATGTGTTTCTATTATTGCGCGTGTAGGGAAACATAGAGAAGTTTGCTATTTTCTTATTCCTAATGTTCTGAACAGTTTTGAAAGTTCTATAAATAGCTGGATGTTATTGACGTCATAATCCATCATGGCTGCGCCCATGAATGAACACTCAATGTGTTAGCAGCTGTTGGTAGCAACTGGAAATCAACTGTAGAATGTGTAATGAATTACCTTAGCCTGAATAATACCTTTATCTAAGTTTATCCTCGAGTAATAATCAGGGAAAGGTAGTTATTATTATTTAGCAAGGAATGAATGGGAAGATAATGGATTACTACTATCTCTACTTATGTTTTATAGTTGTATTGAGTTGGTGATGTGTCAAAGTTGAACCATCACTAGTACAATTGTATATATCTAGTCAATGATGCTATCAATTAGTTATTATTAAGAGTTTGATGCTGGTGTAATCCGTCATGTGGGGAACAGTTTTTATTTCCAATTTCCAATACATAGTGCATTTTCTGTACCAGTCCACTATAATTATAATACAGGTGTCAACTTGGTTTAAATGTTTTATAGATTCCTGTTGGCATTGTTGTTGATTACCTCTGAACTTGATATTTAGTATAAGTGTTTATAAGTTCAAGTGTTCATTAGTTCAAGATAAATATCCCTAGACAAGTACAGTTAGTAAGATGAAAGTTAGGAACCATCATATAGTATTATATATGGTCGAAGTTAAGAACCATCACTAGTATTATATATGGTAGAAGTTAAGAACCATCACTAGTATAATATATGATGGAAGTTAAGAACCATCATATAATATTACATATGGTGAAAGTTAAGAACCATCACTAGTATTATATATGGTAGAAGTTAAGAACCATCACTAGTATAATATATGATGGAAGTTAAGAACCATCATATAGTATTATATATGGTGGAAGTTAGGAACCATTACTAGTATTATTTGGTGGAAGTTAAGAACAACAATACAATTTTGTTTATAAAATGAAGTTCTGAAATGATTGTCCATTTCATGGGAACAAACATCACATGTTTCCAGTGTTCATATTATATGAATAGCCCTGTATTATCTGTATAGGCTTGAAGCATACAATGTGTTATGACTTATCATTGTAAGTTGTATGATTCCCGCAATAAATCTGGAACCCTCAACCAGTGTTATCTTCTCTCCAAATAAGTGGTCTGACACTCGATCCTACCAGTTGGTAACATTTTGGACCCTTTGTAAATACGGACTCAATTTGACTTCGGTGCATCTGATGATGATGATATAGAATGTTTTACGATCCAGTCAAGTAGATTATGAGACAGTCGAAGAGATTGTATATGTGCAATGTCCATAATATTGATTGTGATTATAATTTACGTGGAGGATATAGAAACGTTTTATCAACCAAAGTTTAAATAGAAAAATAACGTATTCACTGTGATTAAATGACCAGAAGGTTAGCAAATATTACAACGAACGAGAACGTGTGGGACTCGATTAAGTAACACGTAGAAATGTTCTTGAAGATAAATGGAAATTATTTACAATTATTTGATACAAATTTTGCAGGTATACATGTTCAATTATAAAATATAGTGTACACTGTATATTACATAAAAGTTTGTAGACAAAGTTAAATAACACAATGTAGCAGACACTTCTATGTTTATCTATAGAAAATTTGATGTAGCTTTGATATAAAAACCTAGGTGTGTTTAGTGGAGTTGTACACCAGTAGATATTGAAGGTATTGGAAACTGTATGAGTAACATCATTACTGAAGAACCGCTTAAGAAAACTTAACTGAAAAGTAAGAAAATAAGAAATACAATGTGTATTTCAGTAGGCGTAAGCTATCTAATTTAGATGTGTATTGATGGCACGAAATATTCAGTGTTTCTATTTTACCTTTTCTAACAATATATTTAAAACTTACTGAAAACTAGAAAAGTTTGATTACAAGAACGATGAAAATGAAGTCGATCGTA